GTAATTAAGTTCAGTGTTTGGTTGCTTATTTTTCTTTTTTTTTTTTAAGTAAATAGGTTTTAGGATCTAACATGTGCCAGGCACTGTTGGGAACATAAAGAGGACTAAGACGTGATCTGTGATTAGGAAAGTTCCCACCCCCTGGGAACTCCTGTCCCCCTGTCTCTACGTGGGACAACACCTGATTTTTCAGCAGTACAGACCAGTGATTAATGGGTTGAAATTTCAGTGAATGAACCCAAATAAAATATTCAGCACCGCCTTTCGATTTCAGACTTTCTTCGAAAAAGCCTCATTAGTCCTTAAAGAAAAGAAACCATTCTCCCCAGTGTCCTGCCTTCAAGGGTACCTCAATGCTGTACTATTTATATTTGCAGTTATTGATAACATGTGACTCTTGATTATATTGGCTGTCATCTGCCACCCAGATGTCTGACATGGATAAGATTCTACCTGAAACATTTATGCATTGGGGAAAAAATAACTTGATTACCTCCTACCTGTTAGAATTGAATTAAGTAAGGGCGCCCTGTAGTTCTGTGTCTTAATTGATTCTTTAACCAGTCAAGCTAGGATAAATATGCAAAACCTTATTTTCCTGGTTGGAGACTAAGAGAAAAAAAAATCATTAGCAAATCTACTTCAGACTACTGCCTCAAGTAACTTCCTTTCAAACTCTGAATATGAAACAAAATGAGACGCACTAAGAAGATAATTTGAAGTCTTTAGAACCTTAAAATGAAGTTTTCCTTAGGTGAGGGAAAATTGGAAATATCTAACGTGTTCTGTTCAAATAAGGGAGTCTCTTTATATGGTTATAGAAATATAATGTGGTTCACTCTGGATGGTCAGGTGAGCAGTACCACTTTGACCTACTTTTTACTATAATTAGAGCAGTCTTTTCGAAAAGCCGTGCAGACTTGCTAAGGCATAGGAAAGCAGTATATAGCTACACGCACATTCAAACAAGGTAAGATCTCAGAATACTGGAGGGTTGCCATGCCCTCCTCCAGGGGAATCTTCTCGACCCAGGGATCGAACCTGCATCTCTTAGGTCTCCTGCATTGGCAGGCAGGTTCTTTACCACTAGCACCACCTGGGAAACCCATTAATATATAGCTGTTTAATATATAAATGTGTGTGTGTGCTCAGTCACTTAGTCGGGTCTGACTCTTTGGGACCCCAGGCACTGGAGCCTGCCAGGCTCCTCTGTCCAGGGGATTCTCCAGGCCAGAATATTGGGGTGGGTTGCCATTTCCTTCTCCAGGGCATCTTCCCAACCCAGGGACTGAACCCACAGCTCCAGGTCTCCTGCATTGGCAGGCAGATTCTTTGCCACTGTGCCACCTGGGAAGCACCTTAATATTATAAATATACAAACTATTTAATATAAAAAGCTATTCCTTTTTATGTAAAGCCATGGATTTGGATGTTATGTGAACCATATCAACTGTATTCACATTGCCATACAGACTTGGATTCAGGAAGAAGAATACGGTGAATCGTTCACTTTTTTGGCCCGAGTTTAGTGACAGGTTTTTGGGAGGAGATGTATGGGAAATCTTGCCTGGTAAATTTTACGGAGCTCATTAAAGAAGGTAGAGACAGGGTAACAATTGCTGTGACTACTTGTTTATTAATAAGGATGAAAGCGCATCCGTCAGTGTGTTTGTGCTGGGGGAGGGACGGAGTTGAGCAGGTGGGCTCAGAGGTGAGTGAGGGAGAGAGCCTGTGAAGCTGAAAGATGTCTCATAGTCGTATCTGATGTACTTCATCCATTAACGTCTCCTGATGATGCTTTTTTTGTCGGAAAGCAGTTTCTGGGAAGAGAAAGACCAGCCAGAAGCCATGAGCTCAGGCTTTATTAAAGGGACTGTTGTGCGACTGTGTTGGACTTCCCTGTGGCTCAGATGGTAAGGAATCTGCCTTCAATGCAGGAGACTCAGGTTCAAACCCTGGATGGGGAAGATCCCCTGGAGAAGGGAAGGGCCACACACTGCAGTATTCTTGCCTGAAGAATTCCACAGACAGAGCCTGGAAGGCTACAGTCCGTGGGGTCAGGCTTCATTAAGGCAACGGTAGCATGAGGACAGCTCTCCAGTGAGTTTCTGCGGAGAGCAAGGAACATAAGGACTTAGCAGGATGGTTTGGGGAAGCTCAGAGCTCACACGGGAGTTCAGACTCCGAAGGCAGGGCCGCTCTGTTGTGTTAGGACAGCCAGGCAGGTCTAGTGCAGTGGGCACGGAGGCGTGCCTGGCTCAGCAGCCAGGGAATGGTCGAAATATCACGCTCGGTTGTTTAGATGTGTGGAGTAGGGGTATAAGAATTAGGATTAGGATAGAAAAAACTAGGGCCAGGACTCCTAGTTTATTGGGAATTGATTGTAGAATTGCATATGCAAATAGGAAATACCATTCGGACTTGATAGGAGAGGGTGTATTAAGTGGGTTTGCTGGGGTGTAGTTACCTGGGTCTCCAAGTAAATCTAGTGCGAATAGTACTAATAATATCAGGGCAAGGACTAGAAGTAGGACAGCTAGAATATCTTTAATAGTATAGTAAGGGTGGAATGGAATTTTTTCCGCATCTGATGTAATTCCTGTTGGATTACTGGATCCTGTTTCATGAAGGAAAAGTAGGTGGACTCTGACAAGTGCTGCGATAATAAATAGGAGAATACAGTGAAAGGCAAAGAATCGGGTTAGGGTTGCTTTGTCTACCGAAAAGCCCCCTCAGATTCATTCGACGAGGTTCGCACCAATGTATGGAATTGCTGAGAGGAGATTGGTGATGACTGTTGCTCCTCAGAATGATATTTGTCCTCATGGTAGGACGTATCCTATGAATGCTATGGCTATTACTGTGAATAGGAGAATTACTCCAATGTTTCATGTTTCCAGAAAGGTATATGACCCGTAGTATAGGCCTCGTCCCACATGTAAAAACAGGCAAATGAAAAACATTGATGCTCCGTTTGAGTGTATATATCGGATGATTCAGCCATAATTGACATCTCAGCAAATATGAGTGACGGAGGAGAACGCTGTTATTGTATCAGACGTGTAGTGTATCTCTAGGAATAGGCCTGTTAGAATTTGTAGGATTAGGCAGATTCCTAGCAGGGAGCCAAAGTTTCATCACGATGAGATATTTGATGGGGCTGGGAGGTCAATGAATGGGCTGTTTACAATTTTTACTAATGGGTGAGATTTTCGAATGTTGATGATTAGGGTTCTTGTAGTTGAATGACAATGATGGTTTTTCATGTCATTAGTCGTGGTTAGATTCCATGCGAGAATAATGATAACATATTGTATTATGTATTTGTACATAATATTTATTGTATTTATTTTAAGCATTATTTTTGTGATTGGTTTTGTAGGATTTTCTTCGAAACCTTTTTGTGGGGGATTCGGGTTAATTGTGAGGGGTTGGTTGTGGTATTGTATTAAATTTTGGTGGGTCTTTCTTGGGTCTGATCGTATTCTTAATTTATTTAGGGGGGATGATGGTAGTTTTTGGTTATACAATGGCTATGGCATTAGAGCAGTACCCTGAGATTTAGGTTTCTAATAAGACTGTCTTAGGGGCATTTATTACTGGCTTATTAATAGAGTTTTTGATACTTTACTATGTGTTGAAAGATGAAGAGGTGGAAATTGTGTTTAAGTGTAATAATGGTTTAGGAGACTGAGTTATTTATGATACGGGGTTCTGGGTCTTTTAGTGAGGAGGCTATGGGAATTGCGGCTTTGTATAGTTATGGTACTTGATTGGCTATTGTAACCGGTTGATCTTTGTTGATTGCTGTCGTGGTTATTATGGAGATTACTTGTGGAAATTAAATAGGATTATACTAATAAGGATTGTGACTAGGAAAGAGAGGAAATATAGTTTGATCAAGCCTTTTTGGCTTGTAACCATGGTAGATATTTGAATTAGTGAGGTTGTTTTGGTAGAATATTTTGTAGTCAGATTAGGTCTAGGAGGGAGGATGCTGACTTTTGACTTATTGTTAGGTTTGTGTAGGGGGTCAGGTAACCCCAGGTGGTGTAAAATTGTGGGAAAGTACCCTAGTATGTTAGAGAATTTGAAGGCTCTTGACAGGTAATTAAATTTTAGGTTTTGGGTTATATTGCTAACTTCTAGTGCTAAAATAAAACCTAGGATTGTTACTATTAGAGCTATTATTTTTAGATAGTGAGGTATAGTTATTTGGGGGATTGTTGTTGGAGGCATTTGGGGATTTTTCAGGGGGGTTGGAGGGGGGGCTTCCCAGGTGGTGCTAGTGGTAAAGAACCCACCTGCCAATGCAGGAGACGTAAGAGAAGTGGGTTCGATCCCTGGGTTGGGGAGATCCCCTGGAGGAGGAAATGGCTACCCACTCCAGTATTCTTGCCTGGAAGAATTCCACGGGCTCCAGCCCATGGGGTCGCAGAGTCGGACATGACTGAGCGACTTATGGCACAGCGTTGGGGGGGGGGGGGGGGGGGTGGGGGGGGGGGGGGGGGGGGGGGGGTGGGGGGGGGATGAGTACTTGGGGCTGGGGTCTTGATCCTATCAAGGGTCAGTTGAACCTTTTTGGTCCATCAGAGTTGATCACAGAACGTCTAGTATAATTTGTCTTCAAAAACCAACCCCAGTTTCCTGCGTGATCCTGCCAGCTGTATCTAATGTAAACTTTTCTGGGTCAGTTTCCTAAACAGGATAGAAATACAAGCTTTGATCTGCTTTCTGTGTGGACAGTTGTTGATGTTTATTTGCTCAGTTGTGTCCGACTCTTCTCTACCCCCTGGACTGTGGCCCGCCGGGTTCCTCTGTCCCTGGGATTCTCTAGCAAGAACACTAGAGTGTGTTGCCATTTCCTTCTCCAGGGGATCTTCCCAGCTCAGGGATGGAACCCGAGTCTCTGCACTGGCAGGCAGATTCTTTACCGCTGAGCCACCTGGGAAGCCCTTATGCTAACTGTGTACATGTTCATTTTTCTTTTCCGCTTGTAGGCTGGAGCCAATGTCCTTCTCCAGGACGTCAATGGAAACATCCCACTGGATTATGCCGTGGAAGGCACTGAATCGAGCTCCATCCTGCTGACCTACCTGGATGAGAATGGTAGGCTGATGTTGCGAGAAGCCATAGAACAGTAGATGAAGAGATAGAATGGTAGAATTCTTAGTGCATGTATTTTAGGCGCGCTTACACGAGTTCAGACAGATGTCATTCCCCTTGACTGTGAAACGAGGTCTCGTTCTGGGCCATGTTTCATAGTCATTGTCATCAGCACCGTTTGCAAGCTGGCAGAAATCTGGGGACCAAGCATAAAGGGACCTTTTAACAGGCCCCCAAAGTCCCTAATTAGCGGGACTGTGTTTGTAATTATAATCTCTTGTCCGCTGGGAGGGGAGGAGAAGTGAACCAGTACAACTGAATTTTGGGCTAATGAGCGCGAGGTCGCGTGCAGTGTCTTCTCTTGGGAGAACATGTCCAGCCTCCTAAGCATCTCATGCAGGTGAGCGAGGGCTCAAGTCAAGGGCAGTCTGCGCAGCATCTCTGCATCCATTCCTGGGGACACTTGGAAGCTCAGCCCCTGTCAGAAGAAAGCCACAGTCAGTCCCGGCGCCATCCTGAAAAGCTGAGGCTGGGCACCCAGATGTATTCCCTGACAGAGAACGTTTAATTGCACAGCCCTGGTGTATAATTTCATGAGTAAGTCCAGCCTCGGCCAAGTGGGAGGCATTCAGAACCCTGAGTTCTATTTGGTCTCAAACTGAAGAAGTATGCCCTGTCTTTAGTTTTTTTTTCTTTCCGCGGTTCGGGTATAAATAACACCAAAGAAACTCCAGTCCCTTCGTGGGTGATCTTTTGTCAGGGAAACGGTGTAGCATGTCCAAGGGGCGCGCCGTGCTGAGACTGTGCGCGTCTCGCCTCCCAGAAAAGCCGGCACAGCTGCCTCTTTGTTCTCTGGGCCCCGCACCTCCTCCAGATTGCGCCTCTCAAAAGGTTTATTCTGAGGATGGCTTAGAAGAATAATAATTAGTGCTTTGCAGCCATGGGTTCTTAAAAAAAAAAAGGTCTCATTAATTCTGAAAGCAAGGTAAGGAATGTTATCTTCACTGGAGACACTGCGAGCTGAGCTGTGGGTCACAGTGAGCTGAGCTTGGTCTGAAGGTCACGAGTCACATCCCTGGGGTGACAGGCGGTGCGATGGAGTCGCTCCCTGGTACCTGCTCCTTCCTGCAGAAGGGACCTCAGACTTTCTCACGTGTTCAGCTGTGACTTGTCGGAGTCAGAGCCCACGTCCTCCAAAGGGAACAAGCTGAAAGTTATGCACATTCCACTGTTGGGGGGTTTATTATTCGGATCTTTGCAAAACTTGGGGTGCATCTAAGTGAATAACAGAGGGCTGCCTGGGGCTGTCTTAATTAGCTGGGCCACGTTTGTAGCATGGGCTTCCCTGATAGCTCAGTTGGTAAAGAGTCCGCCTGCAGTGCAGGAGACCCAGGTTCGATTCCTGGGTCGGGAAGATTCGCTGGAGAGGGGACAGGCTGCCCACTCCAGTGTTCTTGGGCTTCCCTTGTGGCTCAGCTGGGAAAGAATCCACCTGCAGTGTGGGAGACCTGGGTTTGATCCCTGGGTTGTGAAGATCCCCTGGAGAAGGGAAAGGCAACTCACCTTAGCATTCTGGCCTTGAGAATCCCATGGACTGTACAGTCTGTGGGGTCACGATGAGTCAGACACGACTGAACGACTTTCACTTTCACTTTTGTAGTATAGTTTCCTGTTCTCATTGATCCGCTTTCCTAATAGCTACAGTTGTAGCTCTTTCTGTTTGGAAACTAAAATTAAGTATCTTCATTTGTAAAATAATTAGCGTTTCTTGTACACTTTTCCAACCCACGAGAAGATTTTGTTCCACGAGAACACTGAGTATTTGCTGGAGCGGTATTGCTGTCCCATATAAAGAAAAATAAGTGCATTCCTGATTTTAAAAACGATTTAGGAAAAAAAAAAGAAATATGAGGGACATACTGACTGGATGGTTGGGAGAAAAATCCATCACGACGCTGGCTGTCATAATCCGTTTGTGAAATGCATGTTTGCCAGAGCAAATTTGATTTAATATCTCTTACATTTTTAATTCTGTTTTCCATTTGTCACTGCCCCTGCCCCGGCCTCCGCCTTGCAGTCGTCTGCCCCTCCCTTGCCCCGTTCACAGTCTGGTTCCGTTTCTGCCTGTGTCCCTCCTTATCTAGGTCCGCTGCCATAGTTCCAGTAAATACTGTCTAATTCAATTTATTTCCTGCGCCCTCCCTCTTTGGAGCCCTTTCAGAGTGATCTGTTGTGACAGCGTGGGCTGATACTGTTAGAAATCTCTCACGTTCCACGATGGGCTGGTCCTCATTAGGAGCACTGCAGCCTTCTCACTCTGCGGCGGTGCTCCCGGAGTGTTCCCTCCGCGTCCCCCCGTTTCAGATCGGGGTGCTTATCTCGCTGTTGCATCAGGACACCTGTGGCAGGAGGCAGGCCGAGTCGTGAGCAAGTTGATTACGTGGAAAATCGCTGGTCACAAGTTCTAATTGTGCTGTCACCACCGACATACGCTGTACCCACGGGCACAGCAATTAACCTCGGCTCACTGCCTGAGCTTCCTGGGCTGGAAAACGAGACGGCCGAGGAGTTCTGACCGAGCATCTGATGCCTGTGACATCTCCGGTGTGTGGCAAAGCAGCTGGTGTTTGAGAGAAGCAAATTGATGATAAAATGAGCTGGCAGAGAAAGAAGCACTGCTGGAGGAGCTCGAGGTATCCAGGAAGGATGCTCACTGTGGGCAAAGCGTTGTGGTTCAGTCGCTAAGTTGTGTCTGCCTCTTTGTGACCCCATGGACTGAAGCTCACTGGGCTTCCCTGTCCTCCACTATCTCCCAGAGTTTGCTCAAATTCATGTCCATTGAGTTAATGATGTCCATCTCATCTTTTCTTGTCCCTTTCTCCTCCTGCCTTGAATCTTTCCCAGCATCAGGGTCTTTTCCAATGAGTCGGCTCTTCCAGAGTATTGGGAGTTTCAGCTTCAGCATCAGTCCTTCCAATAGTCAGGACTGATTTCCTTTAGGATGGACTGGTTGGCGCTTCTTGCAGTCCAAGGGACTGTCAAGAGTCTTCTCCAACAGCGCAGCTCAAAAGCATCAGTTCTTCCGGGATCAGCCTTCTTTATGGCCCACCCTTCACATCTGTACATGTCTACTGGAAAACAGAGATGTGTTTTTTCAAGGCCCTGAAAAATAAAGCAAAACTCTTTTGCTTTGCCCTACATATATCCTCACCTATAGCTCTTTCTCCTTTCTTTCAAATGCATCCTTTTAGAAGAAGGAACTCACATTTATCTTCTGAGTTCCTAACCTTCTCCACTGAGCCCACTGACATTCAGCTTCTACCCCTACTGATCTGGAAACACCCTACCGTGACTGCCGCTGCCCTTGGTTCTCTGTCCAGCTGTCGCTTTTCTGTTTGGTATTTCCTCACCTCCCCTCCCGGTGACATTCAGTGACCTTGCTCACACTCTGCTCTGAAGTCTCCCCTCTACGAATGTCACATTGTTTTTCTCCTTTTTCTTACTTTCCTTTGGATGCACTGCTTATGCACCCAGAAGCCAAAATGTTGGTTGTTCCCAAGGCTTTGTCTTTGAGCATCTTCTCTCCATGCTGTCTCAGGCTCATCTCCCCCTTTCCTCGAGTGTTTAGCACCTTCCTGACCCCAGGGACATTCCTGAAGCTTAGAAATCTTTCCAGACCTTGTATGTGTAGTTTTGCTACCAGTTTTGCGTCTTTGACTTGGATGTCAGATAAGTTGAAATAATCTGTCCAACATGGACCTTCTTGTCCTTTCGTACTCCGTCTGGACTGTTTACCTTTGCACCCAGGAATCTGAGTGCTTGAACGTCACTCTTCTTCTCCTACATCCCTCCCATTGAATTGTCACCAAATCTTACAGATCCTTTTTCTCATCTTTCTAATATGTCCGCGTATGTCACCAGCCATGCTATCACTGCCTTGATTAAAACCCTGGTCTTTCTGTATATTTTGGCACAGTCTTAGACGCTAGTCTCCTTGCCTCCAGTCTTAGCCTTCCCTCTGTATTTTTCTCAGGACTTCCAGATTTGTCAGTCCCCAGATGACCTTGTGTATTCCTCCTGCTTAGCAAAGTTCATTCAGAATGCTGTTCCTGCACCAGCCCCTTCAGAATCACGCATTTTGAGGGTGACAGTGATCCAGCTTGCCAAGGACAGTCCTGCAGTATGCTTGTGGTCAGAGTTGGAGGAAAGGATTTGGTAGAGGTTTGTAACACCTGTCCGGCATCCCTGGTTTATTTTCTTTACTTCAACTCCTTTATTTGCCTGCTTAACCCTTTTTCTTTGAAGTCTTGGATCTCTTAGAAAGCTTACCATGAAGACAAAAACTGAAATTAGATGCAGTTCTCGGAGCTTAAGAATTCCCACTCTATGGTCATGGGATGGGTCATATCATAGCCTAATGATAAAATTATCTTTGAAAGCAACAGAGAATATCCCCAGTACAGGATTGATAATGGAGAAAAGGAAAAGCTGAATTGTTGCAAAACAATATTACCTTAATAGGGACAGTTAAGGAAAGTTAAGATAAAGTTCAGATTAACCTGAGATGTTAATGTCTTTTCCATTCCACATAAGCATTTATTGATATAATCAAATGTAATCAGGCAATAATAATTTGTATCACAGGTAATAACTTGTGCATCTCAGGTAAATGACTTGTTTCTTATGTTCTTAATTAAACAAAAAAAATTAGTAAACTCCAATCAAAATAATAAATCTAAGCAGATTGTTAGATTAACACACTTCAGTTGTGTCTAACTCTTTCAACCCCATGGACTGTACAGTCCATGGAATTCTCCAGACCAGAATACTGGAGTGGGTAGCCATTCCCTTCTCCAGGGTATCTTCCCAACCCAGGGATCGAACCCAGGTCTCCCAACATTGCTGGCAGATTCTTTACCAGCTGAGGCACAAGGAAAGCCCACCAGAGTCTTGTGTCCATGGGATATTCCAGGCAAGAATACTGGAGTGAGTTGCCAGAGGATCTTCTAGACCCATGGACTGAACCTGCATCTCCTGCTTTGGCAGGTGGGTTCTTTACCACTGGTGCCAGCTGGGAAGCCAATCTAAGCAGGCCAGGTATTAATTTTTTCAAAAAATCATATGAAAATAAAAAAGCGAGGATTGGCCAGTTCAGTTCAGTCGCTCAGTCATGTCTGACTGTTTGCAACCCCATGGACTGCAGCACACCAGGCTTCCCTGTCCATCACCAACTCCTGAAGCTTGCTCAAACTCGTGTCCATCAAGTCAGTGATGCCATTCAACCATCTCATCCTCTGTCTTCCCCTTCTCCTCCTGCCTTCAATCTTTCCCAGCATCAGGGTGTTGGGATGAATGTCCAGTGAGTCACTTCTTCACATCAGGGGGCCAAAGTATTGGCGCTTCAGCTTCAGATTGGCCAGTTACCCACCACAAAATAATAGGTTTCTTATGGGCTGTAGTCATCATGGTTGGTTTTTTTCCCCAGGGGCATCTTAAGAAATGAGGGAATTTCCATTCTATTGTTTTACCAAAAATACATCTGTGCTTTTTTCCCTGAACACATTACAAAAATCTAAAAGTTACATCCTACTTGGTATCATATTTGATTCAAAATCAAGTTTTAAAATAAAGGGATACACTGTTACATCCTTCCAGTCATATCTTTACAACCGTGATCAGAAATAGTTTCCCATAACATGTAATGTGAATAAGTCAGAAATGAGTGACAGCTAATTTCTCTTTTAATTTGTGTCTTTCATCTCAGCCCTATTCTTTTTTTATCACTCAACGTTAATTGCATGTTTAAATAATTCTCTAGAAGATGCATACCGTTTCAGTAAGCATGCAACATTTAAAAGTTAGCATAGGCATAGAGTACTGTAACCATCAGGCTTTTCTGCTACTTCAACATCGAAAATTGAACACTGACATCTGAGAGATCCATTCAGTTCAGTTCAGTCGCTCAGTCGTGTCCAACTCTTTGTGATCCCATGAATCGCAGCACGCCAGGCCTCCCTGTCCATCACAAACTCCCGGAGTTTACTCAAACTCAAGTCCATCGAGTCGGTGATGACATCCAGCCATCTCATCCTCTGTCGTCCCCTTCTCCTCCTGCCCCCAATCCCTCCCAGCATCACGGTCTTTTCCAATGAGTCAACTCTTTGCATGAGGTGGCCAAAGTATTGGAGTTTCAGCTTCAGCATCAGTCCTTCCAATGAACACCCAGGACTGATCTCCTTTAGGATGGACTGGTTGGATCTACTTGTAGTATTTTCCAAATATAGCTCCCATGTCAAATTCCGTAATCCTTGAAGGAAGAGGACAGTGACAGTGTTGGGGGAATCTGTTAGTTCTTCCAAGATGACTTCTGATGACCAGGAAGCTGAGATATGGCTGGTGGCGTTTCTCGTTCCTGTTTCTGCTAAACCGGGTTTACCTTGAACAGAGTGTTTGACATGAGCTACACTTTCCAAGTGTTGCATTTGGCTTCATTTTATTTGATTTCTCTCTGCCTCCTCCTTATTTGAAGGAAAACATCCCTGAATTCAGCGTGGCACGTGATCCTTGGACCAGAAGGCTGACTAATACTAAAATAACGGGTCCCTTTCATCGAGTGCTTCCTGCAAGCTGTGTTTTCTATGCTGTGTGTGTTTTGACTCATTCTCATGACAACTAGTGGAATAAACTGTCAGCCCCTTTTGCAGATGAGGAAACTGAGGCAACAGATAAGTTACCCGACCCCATCAGTACAAATAATAAGTGCAAGACACAGCACTGAAGCTCGAGAGCATCTCTGCTCTGCGGTTCGTCCATACTCAAGAGAAGGAGGGCTGCAGTGAGCCTGGCATGGTGTGCTCATGGGGACATGCCCACCAATGGGCACTGTGCCAGTCTCTGCAGGGCAGCCAGGTCTTACAAGTGTTACCACTAGCTTTGTTCCTCTGAGACGTGTGTTATTGTCTGTGATGGAGGATATGGAAGACGAGGCTACTTCACTTTCCCAGAGTCCCACCCTGGGGAAGTCAGCGGTCCCGGGGAGTCAGAGGACCGCACTATTGTTTTTGGTTGAGCCCACTGCTGTCTCTCCATTTTTGCATCAAGCATTCAGTCAGATGAGAGAGAAAAATTCTCAGCAGTGTAGCTGGTTCACAGCAAACACTTGCTCAGATACAGATGTCATCTCATCTCACTGGCATCATCTTCACCATCATCAACATCACTAATATCACTATTTCTATTATTATTACTTTCATTTGGAATGAGGTGGATTATTTCCCCTTAGGAAACACCAAGTATGTCCAGGAACGAGTGGTAGGAACAGGGGATGCAGAAATGCAGAGATACATGCTACCATGGGGATTATACCACCATGAAAGCTTAGGTTGAAATGAATACTGGATACGGGTATGAACAGGCCTCCCTGGTAGCTCAGCTGGTAAAGAATCCATCTGCAGTGCGGGAGACTTCAGTTTGATTCCTGGGTCAGGAAGATCCCCTGGAGAAGGGATAGGCTGCCCACTCCAGTATTCTTGGCCTTCCTTGGTGGCTCAGATGGGAAAGAATCTGTCTGCCCTGTGAGAGACCTGGGTTTGAACCCTGGACTGGGAAGATCCCCTGGAGGAGGGCATGGCAACCCTCTCCAGTATTTTTTCCTAGAGAATCCCCATGAACAGAGGAGCCTGCTGGGCTACAGTCCATGGGGTCTCAAAGAGTCAGACACATCTGAGTGACTAAGCATAGCACAGAGGTGTGAACAGCTGAGCTGACCTGAGTCTTCTCTGCACAAATCACCCACCTCAGTGAAGCCTGGTTCTCAGTTCTCCACTCAGTTTCTCCTTATTAACATTAGTAGTCATGAAATGATCAATTGGAGCATCCTTTAAAAATATTTTAAAGACATTTTAGGTATACAGGAAATTTGCATTTTGCAAAGTACAGAGAGATCCCGGGTACCCTTCACCCAGCTTCTTCTCACATTCAAAATGTCCACAGCCATGGGCTTCCCAGGTGGTGTGAGTGGTAAAGAACCCACCTCCCACGGCAGGAGACGTAAGAGGCACAGATTCCGTCCCTGGGTTGGGAAGACCCCCTGGAGGAGGGCATGGCAACCCCCTCCAGTATTCTTGCCTGGAGAATCCCAGGGACAGAGGAGCCTGGCAGGTTATGGTCCATGGAGTCGAGAAGAGTCAGACATGACTGAAACGACTTAGCATGTACAAATGAATGGTGCATTTATCCAAACATTGGTACAATACTGTTTTCTATAATACAGCCTTTATCCAAAATTTTCCACTTTTCCCACTAAATCCTTTTTTTATTCCATTCCTTTTAGAAGCAGTTATTTTAAAGAGAAAATCATAAGGAACAGAAAGCATGTCTTTAAACTCATTTCGATTCAGTCCAGGGACTTTACAATACTTTGGGCAGTCTGTGCTGATGATTTATACGAAAACAGAAATCCACAGAGAGATCCCCACGGCTAAGGCATTCTATCATATTTTGGGATATAAAAGGAAAATTATTCAAGACTATCCTCTGACTGGAAGTAAGACTGCATGCCAAGAGAAACAGTTATAGCTACTTTGAATGAGAATTCAAAGCAGAAGAGGGGCTTCAAAGAGGAGCCTTGAAACATACAAGATAAGATGGGATTTTTACCCCCAGCAGCTGAGAAACAGCTCTACATTGTGTCTGAAAGGCTCTTCCCCCCTCCCTCCAGGAGTGGATCTCACCTCACTGCGGCAGATGAAGCTTCGGAGACCGGTGAGCATGTTAACAGACGTCAAACACTTCCTGTCCTGTGGAGGAAACGTTAATGAGAAAAACGATGATGGCGTAACACTGGTGAGTCACAACGCTTCACTAGGAGACACTGCTTACGTTGCAAATGTGCATTGATTTGAAAAACATAGAATTGGTTATCATTAACTCCTAAATATGTTTTTTATTTTTCTGATTATATCAGTAATAGATATTTATTGCAGAAATTTTGCAAAACAAAATGCTAAAAGGAAAGTGTAAATAACTTATACTGTCACCCAACATTTATCTGTTGATATATTCTCTTTAAGCCTTATGCATGTTTTTCCTACAAATTTAGAATAATTTTTATATTATTTTTGTCAGTGTGATTTTTGAGCTGGAACTTACAGGAGACTGTTTTCGTTTTAAGCAAAAGAACCTATGTTACTCTGATGAATGAATTTCTAAATTCAAACAAACGCATGCCATTGCTTTTTAATGCTTTCAGGCACAGTTGCATTAAATTGAACACAAGACAATTAAATGTGGACTCATTTGGATGTAAGCACAATGTCTTATCATCACAGGAAGAACATTTGGTCCTATTGACCCATAAAAATTACTTGGATCGGGCATGCTGGGGTTAGAATTAATTATTATGGAGATGAATGTGTTTTCTCAAGAAGGTAAGCTATAGAAGCAAAAGGGATTAGAAAGCTTTGAAGCAAGGGGTACACAGAAGCAGTTGCAACCAATTTTAGAAAATGATTCTGTTTCTACTATGGGAAAATATGGTGTGTGGTTGAACACAGTAGATGAAGAAAGCAGTGTAACTGAATGAATAATAACTGTGTGAGACCTGATACCTTCGTAGATTTATTAAATGCAAATTAAGTGCTTTGAGACTTCTCAATAGAGTTAGCTTCCTGGACATCGATGTCGATCTTTGGAATATAAATTTCAGAAGACTACCGAAAATGGAACTCTAAGCTATAAGAAAATAAAGCAGTTTTAGAGTTTATGGAAAAATAACACATTCAAATGGAAAAAATATTCCAACTAGTTTATCGAGGAAATATTTACTAACTGCATCCTGTGTAAAAAATCATAGTGAACAAAACCACAAAAGTCCTTTTGTCTTTGTCGGGGGCTCACATTTCTTTGGGGAAGGCATACACTATGCAGTGTAAGTGGGCTAGGTATATAGTGCATTAATAGTACTAAATGCAAATGAGAAATAAAAACAAGACTGAGACATGGTAGGTATACAGCTAGCATTTCTGGGTAGGTAGACAGATGAGATCTCACTGACATGGCGAGCTCTGAGTGATGGGCTGAGGGAAGTCTGCCCACACTGCAGGTGTGAAGGAGGGGTACTGCAGGCTGAGCAGTGGATGTGCAAAGGTCCTGAGGCAGGGCCGGGTGTGCTGTGAGTAAGGGACAGCTAGGAGGCCTGCGTGGCTGGGCAGAGACAGCAAGAGGAGGCGGGCACCGGGACCGGACCACCCCGGGTCTCCTGGGCTCGTGTGAGGGCCGTGGCAGTTACTCTGCGTGAAGCAGGAGCGCGCTGGCGAGTCCTGACCGAGACGTCGTCGCTTCGGATCTTCACTCCCACCGCTGCAGTGAGGATGCACTCAACGGGCAGGAGTGGAGCTGAGAGTTCAGGGAGGACGGTCTCCTCCAGCAGGTGATGCGACTCAAACCACAGGCGCTGCGGTGGTGAGAAGTGGTTCATTTCTGAAGTCCACGTTAAAACAAGATCCACCGGGATTTCCTGAGGGAAATTCGGTGATAGAGGAAGAAAAGACTTTAGCGTGACTCTGAATGTTTCTAGTTTGAACAGCTGGAACGATGGAGTTGACACCAAATGAGATGAGAATGGGCTGAGGGCAAAGGAAGTGAGGGTGGATTCTGGAAACGTGTAGAAGTGCCTCTTAGCCATCGTGATGAAGATGCTGTTTGTGGCTGGTTGTTGAGTCTGATTCATAAAGGGTTTCCTAAAGGAGATCAACTCGGAATATACATTGGAAGGACTGATGCTGAAGCTGAAGCCCCAGTACTCTGGCCACCTGATGCGAAGAGCCGACTCATTGGAAAAGACCCTGATGCTGGGAAAGATTGAAGGTAGGAGGAGAAGGGGACGACAGAGGATGAGATGGTTGGGTGGCATCATGGACTCAACGGACATGAGTTTAAGCAAACCCTGGGAGATGGCGAAGGACGGGGAGCCTGGTGTGCTGCAGTCCATGAGGTCGCAGAGTCTGACATGAGTTAGCAACTAAACAATAACAACTAGTGTCTGGAATTTGGGTGCTGTTTAGACTGGAGAAGCGATGTTGGGATCTTTAGCATGTTTGTGCAATTGAGGCCCTTGACGCTGGGCTGGGAAGATCCCCTGGAGGAGGGCATGGCAACACACTCCCGAATTTTTTCCTGGAGAATCCCCCTGGACAGAGGAGCCTGGTGGGCTACAGCTAATCTGATAGGAAGGAAAGAGGCTTGGGGACGGGACCGTGGCGCATAGAGAGAGGAAGATCCTGGAATGAGGGGGGAGTGGAAACTCCCAAGGTGGGAGGCAAACCAAGAGAGTGAGGTGTCCTGGGAGCCCAGTAAGGAAAGCAGGAGGAGAAGGAATGATTCACTGTCAGATAAATACCGCTGAGAAGTCAAGTGGACAGAGACTCGGCTGCCAGATTTAGTAACTTGGAGTCCTTGGTTTTCTCATCAGGGCAGCTTTGGTGGAGCGATGGGATCAAAATCAGACTGGAGCGGGCTATTTAATGAATCGTCTATTTCTACTGTATGTCTCAGGGGAGAAAAAGAAGGTACAGTCTGTTCGTAGGACATATATGAAATTAACCTTAAAAATGCATTCCAGTATACAGTAGGTTCAGACAGATACTTACATAGAATGCCTACCATAGTCCAACTCCTTTTGTCAGAAAGTGCCCTGGTGGATGCCAGTGCCCGAGGTGGGGGTGCGGAGGGGGGAATGGGGAGTTAGTGATTAATGGGGGTGGAGTTTCAATTTAGGAAACAAAAATTCAGGAGACGGATGATGGCGACAGTTGCACAGCAACGCAGTGTACTCAACGCCACTGAACTGCACGGTCAAATATGGTTAAAGTAGCGTGTTTTATGTTACTTTCACCACAGTAAAAACATTAAAAATAAAGATGATTAATAGCTGATTTAACACTTGAGCTACATTAATTAAGACATCCAATTCATAGTAAAAACCCAATGGACTCTCTGTTTCTTTGTTTGGCAGAAGATATTACAACTTCCATGTTTTTTTTTTTTGAAATCACAGCTAAATAGAAATAGCACACATGTTCAAATTCCTGCTAAATTAAAATGCTTACAAACTTCAGAAGATAAGCTGTGGAGAGAATCAATACACGGCAGTAAATTGCTATCATTTCCAACCGTCTTCAATTTTGACATTCCTTGTGACTTTTCTTTTTTATTGAACAGAGAACACAAACGTGGCATGTAATTATTCTGTAATAACTAAATCTAGTTTTATTATCGATGCTGTGATCATCTTTGAGCTTTGTACAGAGAAGGTAACAATGAGCAGGAGGCAGCCCTTCCCTGAGAATCACAGCATTTAGCAAGTGGCAGCCTCTTTGATTCCTGTGTCTAAGTTGGTTGGTCAATTATGTTAATAGTTCGAGTTGTCTTTCTGTAAAGGGTATGTGTATAGTGTGTGCTTGCCTATTGTTGCTGATAATGATAAAAAGAAAGTCTTATCCACATACGGCTTCTGTGTCCTGAGGTGGAATTTCAGTTGTGATTCAAAATTAGGCATTATACCCCATGCTATTACGCCGCAAAACAGATGAAACTGTCAGCGAAAAACTCAGTGAAGATCTACTCCTAGTAAGATGGTTTTATGCTGCTGCTTTTTCTTCCTTTTTAGAATATGCAGTATAATAACCAAATGTAGGATAAATCTTTTTAACATTTTTTATTTCATTTTATTTTTACTGGAACATAGTTGATTTACAAGGTTGTATTAGTTAAAGATGTAAAGCAAAGTAATTCAGTTGTAGACGTATATATATACACACACACACACACATATATATTCTTTTCTGGATTTTTTTTCAACTGTATGTTATTTTAAGATACTGACTATAGTTCTCCATGCTATATGGTAGAACTTTGTTGTTTATTTACTTTATATATGTGTATATATATATATATATAGTATATTTATATATATTATATATAAATACATACATAAGAATATATGTATATATATAAAGTATTATATATACTTATTGTACATATAAATATAAATATAAATTATATACAATAATTATATATATAATAGTTTTATAATAATAGGCTTCCCAGGTGGCCCTGGTAGTAAAGAACCCACCTGCCAGTGCAGGAGACCTAAGAGACTCGGCTTCAGTCCCTGCGTGGGGAAGATCCCCTAGAGGAGGAAATGGCAACCCACTCCAGTATTCTTGCCTGGAGAATCCCATGGACGGAGGAGCCTGGTGGGTACAGTCCATGGGGTCACAAAGAGTTTGATCCTGTGAACTTTGCATCATTAGTATCAGGCACTAACCACCTAGTGAACCTATTATTCCTGCAGGCTTATACCGCAAGGGAAAATCTGAAAGCCACTTGCTAGTGCTGAATGCGCAAGAATTTGCCAGTCACTGACTAATGATTCAGATAATATGGAATAAATTTAGAAGCAGGTGAAAAATGAATTCTTTAGGTGAATATGTATGGAAATTCATATTTCTCTAAAATATCTGTGGATGCATCATATTTGATAGAATGTTAATGAGATGAAGTTTGTACGTAACGAAGTGTGTCAAGATTAATGTGAAACTTAACTTCTGAATGTTTATGCCTTAAGTTAGATTAAATATATTTGTTATTCTAATGTAGTTGAAAGTACATACAAAGTATAAACATATAAATGTCACTGTAGATTGAAGAGCATAATTAAGGCCAAAAAGCAAAATTTTTGCTGAATTTTATCAAAATTTATATTTAATAAACCCTTTTGACTTTACTGTAATTTTGTCTTTGTAATAAAAATGGAAAGGAATTGTGCTACAAAATTCTATGCT